GGCAGATTTTTTACATTCAAATGTCTCTTATTCAGAAACTAGAGGGACTATTGAAATAAGTAAAGTATCAGAATGTAGGAAAGAGTTACACTCCAACAGGGTCAAGTTAAACCTGTGATATTCTTTCAAGTTGTTGACAAAAAATTTAAAAACTCATGTCGGTAACGGAGGGAATGAAATATGCAGCACTTTTTGGACAATAAATCCAAACAGTGATAACTCTTGGTTCTCACTTACATATCCTTAACAAACTGGTTTGAATATTTGCTTCATATAGTTTTCTACCATATGGTACAAGATTAGGTTGAAAAACCTCTTACTTTTTGAGTAATGAGATTTTTTATTAAGAAAGGTCATGGTAACGGAGGGAAAAGTAACAGAGGGAAAATTGTACAAACAAGTAGAAGGTGCAGGATTTTACATAATTTTGTCGCTTTTTTCTTCTGAATACTTTAATATTACTTCAAAATGAAAGAAGAAACTATTTCTATAAAATATGTCAGTCCTTCCAAGCAAATTTTTATCATTTTAAATTTTTTTTTTTTTGAAAAATCACGTACCTTCATCAACAGTTCAAAGATGGAATAACACAAGATATGATGAAATACATCCATTTATTTACATGATTTGCAGGTCTTTGAAATTTGGGAAATAATTTTTGTTCCATGTTTCATACATGGTCTGTTTAAAACGGTATGAAACTTTAGAACCAAAAATGGTACAGAAAAAAGGTCAACAGTTTCATAAACTAGAGTACATATGTATCTGTTCAATACATTTTTATATCAGATGCATTAACTTTTTTGGCCTTGTTGTTTACTTCTGCGTCTTTACTCGATTCTACAAGTATTATTAACAAAACAAAATGTGGGTTTGATCTTGTTGTTTTTTTGCGTGGCTTCGTTGTGCTGTTGCCGCTGTGAGACATGCACAGGGGTCTTAATGCAGTGTCCGTGTTTTCCTCTTAAGTGCATTGGACGCCGATCGATGACCCTCCCCAGATGTATGCGCCGTCACACCCTCGCCCCCCCCCCCTCTCTTCGCCCCCTCGCCCACCCCTCCTTCTCTCCCCCCTCCCGCCCTCTGATCGAGCCCGGGCCGAGCGGCAAATCCGGCCCGCGCCAGATAGCTTATCGATCGCCGATTCGATTCCCCCGCCTTGCTACGGGCGGCCGTGTTTGTCCAAGGCCGTCTCTCCGAAGGGCCGAGTGTGCTTTGGTCTCTCATAACACGAGGGAGAGCGCACACACACGAGAAGAGGAGGAGGATGTGTGAAGAGGAGGAAGGAGGGAGAGAGTGAGGGAGCGCTTGTGAGGAAAGGAATCAGGGAAGGATCAGAGGAGAGTGTAATAGGACTTGGTTTAATCTAGTCAAATTCAGGCCGGAGCTTCGGCAAACACCACGGCAAAGCTCGGGACTACAGTGTGAGTGTAATTGTGGAGATATGGGATTTGGGTCACTTCCAAACACGGGGAAATACAGAGGGAGCGCGACGAAAAGGTTCAAACGCCACGCCAAAGATTAGAGGTGTAACGGCGCGTGTATTTGTGCCGAAACGTGTCGGTACAGGACGTTGGGTTTGGTGCAGGGCTGTGCAAGAGTGATTTCACCAGCTAGGACCACACCAATAACGACATAGTGCGAAGAAGTTTATTGATAATGTACGAAGCGGGGCGGAGATGACTGGGTTGAGACTATAGGTGGGGGCTCCGTCTCTATCTTCAATTGGCCCAGCCTTGTAGGCGTCTTACGACTGAAAGACAAAATAGGTCAATCGATGCAGCGTCTGCAGTGATGCGGTCGCTGCATCGGACCGTTGTGGTGAAGAGGAGCTGAGTCGAAAGGCGAAGCTCTCGATTTACTGGTCAATCTACGTTCCCACCCTCACCTATGGTCATGAGCTCTGGGTAATGACCGAAAGGACAAGATCGCGGATACAAGCGGCCGAAATGAGTTTCCTCCGTAGGGTGGCTGGGCGCTCCCTTAGAGATAGGGTGAGGAGCTCAGTCACACGGGAGGAGCTCGGAGTAGAGTCGCTGCTCCTTCACGTGGAGAGGAGCCAGCTGAGGTGGCTCGGGCATCTTTTCTGGATGCCTCCTGGACGGTAAGTCCGGAGGCTCTGTCCTTCATGTGCTGGTTCCAAACGGTGGCGAGCAAGACCAGTGCTTGATGGACTGGGTCTAAGCGGGAACGTTCCGTCGTCTGCGCGCTGGTTCTGTGCGGGGAAAGTGAGAATGCGCTGTGGACTACAGGTCCGGGCGGGCTGCTCCGGTTCTCCGAGCTCAAGAACCACGGCTGGTTCCGAGGTGGTGCAGCATCCGGACAGAAGCGTGAGTCCAGTTTGGTTTGTTATATGTTGTTCTGAGCGTCCGTCCTTGGCGCATTTGGTTCTTCCCGGGGAAAGCGCTTCCTCAGGTCGAGGCTCAGCGCTCCAGCTCCTCTGAGCCCGGCCTGAACTGGAGCTGCCCCCGCTGGTTCAGGACTCTGGTTTGGATCTAGTCTAGTCTGTATTTCTCACACTAGGCTAAAAACAGGGACTTTTTAAAGTTGTATCAATTGAATAGGCTATTGCCATAAAATTATTTGGTTAATTAAAGCCAAAAATAACAAATGCTGGTTGCTACGTGAACACGGGGAACACCGGGGCTTCTCTTTTTGACTCACTCTGGAGCCACACGTTCGCACGTTCTTGCTCTGATCTTCGTGTGTTACATTCTCTGTATTGGCCATTGTTGGTAAAATAATTCGAAAATGAATCGCAGCTGCGTCTGGACAACAACCTGTTACTGCGCTGGAGTCGTACAGCGCGTCACTTCAGGCAGAGGAGAAACGTTTCCTCCCATGATGCATTTGGAATAGTCCGTTTGTCCACACTGTCTATGGTTTGGACCCGGGTTCACGTTCACACCAGAGGAACCGCACCAAAGTTGGTCATTTGGTGCGGATTCAAGCGAACCGAGACCACCTCTTTTTTGCGCTTGATTTGGTTCGAGTCTGAGTCTGATTGACGCTTTCACGTCAACGCAAACGAACCGAACTAACCACTTTTGGTTCGAATGGACCGTTTGGTGCGCACCAAATACTGTCGGTGTGAAAACACCCTAAAACACACCTAAAAATCCTCTTGGTGATATATCGATACAGTAGCCCACGATATCGATACTGTATCATCACATTAAACGATACGATATATCGATATTCCAATATTTTTGCACACCCCTACACTGAACCATATCAAAAAGCTCACTGTATCGAAAAGTGCATCGTATCGTGGCCTACGTATCGAGGTATGTATCGTATCAACAACTTCTTAATGATACCAGCCCTACTGGACACTGAAACATATGTGCTGCTTTATGCACTGTGCACATGGACTCACACTTGTCCCGACCAGAACAGAAAGCGTGGAATTTCTTGTATAAATCATCGTTAAATACGCATTTGTGCTTCGGTACGTTGCAGACTGACCGACTGTTTGAGTCTCGCTTCTTCTGAGTGCAGAGAGACACATGTACAGACCCCGTTTGTCCCCGAACACGGACGTTTGGTCACACTACGCTTCGCACAGCAACCTACATTCAGTTGGTCGATTAAAATGAACATAATCGATGAAATTCTTAATGATCCTTACTCCGAACCACATAAATCCTCGCAAAACTACTGTCATCGTGCCGCGGTCATCAGTCCCCCTCCTGCAAATCTGCACTTACGGCAAACACAAGTTGTTTTTTTCTAAAAGAAGAAGAATGTGCGCACATCAGCCAAGTGCATCTGCAGGACCAACAGGATCAGATGAACAGGAATAATTAAAAACAAGTTGTATTTTCTGTTATTAGGATGTTTTTACAGACCAAGAGTTTGTTTTTCATACCTGACAGTTTCGACTGATCACGAGCGCTCTTCGTCAGTTGTTTTGTTTGTTTTGTGTGTTGAAGTTGTTTTTTTCTGTCCAAAAATCTGAAGACTGAGTAAAATTTCATGCTGGAACTGTTCGTGCTGCGCTTTACTTTTTGAACAGTTTTGTTTACTGTTTACAAGGAATTTATTTTTTACAATATTTCAAACATTTGTTGCTTATTTAAGAATATTTTATTTAAGTTATTAGTGCAGCACTTTGCATTTATTTTATTTTGCAGTTTGTATAATGTTAAAACAAATTGCTGGTTTAATAAAAACACAAATAAACAACAAGAAAATGGTTTTGCATTTTGTTCCCAAACTGAACCGAAAACGAACCGAGGTATGTACCAAACCGTTGATTTTTGTGAACCGTTACAAACCTACCAAAGATATATATCATAGCATTTTAGAAGTTGGTTACTTGTTTATTTTATTCCAAACAAAAAGAAAATATTACGTCCAAACTGGAAGACGAGCAGTTTGTAACTTTACTGGTGAAAGGTTCAATTCGTGGCGTTTGAAAGTATAAAGTTCGGTGTCCACACTTCAAACTCCGCCCCTGGAGACAGGTGTTTGTATCAGAAACACCTGTCTGTAATCAGGGCAGTCGTGTGTGATGTCACCAACTACTTGAAATCGCAGAGGCCACAGGAGACAGCGCACACTTTAGACACGAAAGCTGCGACAAAATGTGAAATCCGTGTGTAGTTTCACTTTAAATCAAGGTTTAAATTGCCAGATTTCGCTTAAATTGTCTTTGCGTTTTGGATCGAACTTTCCGTGTTGATGACGTTTTTGAACTCTCAGCTATTTCCTGGAATTTGCTTACATTTTTTCTCAACTTTCTTTCCGCAAACTGCGACTGAACCGATGTAAAACTGAGAAACACTGACCACAGGTACAATCGACTGAAGAAAGTCAGAAGTAGAAAAACAAAGAACAAGAACAAAGACCAGAAAATAGCGTAACATGGGTCTTTTAAACTATTTTTTCTCTCTCATATCTTCATAAACACAAGAAGAACCGTACATTTTCAAGACACACGACATAATCAGACCAGAGCGTTAGAGCGTTTAAAGGCGGCTGGACAGAGGACTCACGTGAGGACGTAGTTGACGCTGACGATGCAGTGAGGTCTGGACGAGCGGCTGTTGTGGACGATGGTGGCGTAGCTCTGCACCCAAACCCACCCGCCGTGTTTGGCCAGGAAACGGTAGTACTTTGTGGTCACCTGACCCTTCACCAGCACTGAGAGGAGAGGACAGAAGAGAGGACACAGGAGGGACATTGAGGCTTTAGAATTTCGTTATTTCATTTCAGTGTGTGTGTGTGTTTTGTGAACTTTGAGACGTTTAGCTGCGTTCAGACTGCAGGGCTTAACGCTCAATTCAGATTTTTTTGCGAAATCCGATTCTTTTGCGAGGTCGTTCACATTTCCAATTAAATGCGACTTGTGTGTGGATCTCCAGTGTGAACTTTAAGCGTGCTCAGTGTTTTCGGAAGTTGCCTCAACGCTGGGCTACAAAAATCTGGTCCAGTTCTTGGTAAAATGTTCAGGTTACACGTCCACGGCCGCTTCGTTTGTTTGAGTCTTTATCCTCCTTGCATTTGGCTCGCAGGATCTTTATTTTTCGTTGACATTGGAGCCAGAACCGCCTGTAGCCGCGCTCGGACATTTCTTTGGCAATCATTTCAAAAACCTCCCAGTTCTGATAAGACTCCTCCAATTTGTCCTGAATACAGTGATCCCCACAAATATTATTAAACTCGCTAACCTCGCTTTCCCTCCAGACTCTGAGCCTGACGTGTAGGTGGGATGAATGCGACCTGGCCATTCAGACTGCAGCTTGAAGTGACCCAAATCCGATTTCTCATCCCCTATGCTCCTGTATCTGATCTTTTAATGACAGTCTGAACGACACAGATCCGATTTTTTCAAATGTGACCCAGGACACTTGGATATGTGCTCCTAAAACCGATACATATCTGATCTTTTGACATGAACGGTCAGGTCACATTCATCCCACCTACACGTCAGACTCAGAGTCTCGTCAATGGAGGAAAAGCGAGGTTAGAGAGTTTATTCATATTTGTGGGGATCACTGTATTCAGGACAAATCGGAGGAGTCTTATCAGAACTGGGCGGTTTTTGAAATGATCGCCAAAGAAATGTCCGAGCGCGGCTACAGACGTCCTGACTCCAATGTCAACGAAAAATAAAGATCCTGCGAGCCAAATACAAGGAGGATAAAGACTCAATCAAAAAAAGCAGTCTTCTTTATCATTAGTATTAGTTTGTATGACCAGAAACTTAAACAAAAAATCCTTACATTTTTTTCCATTCTCATTGTGGTTTATTTTGCACGATCATAAACGATAAACTTTTGTGCCGTTGTTATCGTTATTTTTAGTTTATACAACCATAAATGAAAACCAAAATCCTTAAGTTTTTCATCCTTATTACTGTTTACTCTGTACATATCGATTTTTACCTTGACTAAAAGAGCAGGTAAAATAATGGGTGTGGCCCCAAGCTCACTTCAGCAAATTTTTGAGGAGACTGTGAGGAAGCTCGGCAGGAAGGTGATCAATGACCCAACCCATGTTCTTCACAGTCAGTTTGAGTTGATGCCATCAGGCAGAAGGTTCAGGGTCCCAAACTGTAAACTGAAAAGATTCAAACATTCTTTTGTGCCACTAGCTGTTAAACTGCTAAACTCAGATAATGCAGTTAAAAAATAATTATAAAAGGCTTAGGGATTGTGCAATCAAAACTGCACATAGGTGTAGGGAATGTGCAATTAAAGCTACACATAGGCTTAAGGAATGTGCAATAATTAAATCTGCACATAGGCTAAGGGAATGTGCAATAATTATAACTAAAACTGCACATAGGCTTAGGGAATGTGCAATAATTATAACTAAAACTGCACATAGGCTTAGGGAATGTGCAATAATTATAACTAAAACTGCACATAGGCTTAGGGAATGTGCAATAATTATAACTAAAACTGCACATAGGCTTAGGGAATGTGCAATAATTAATAGAACAGAAGAATGCAAGGGTTTGCCTGTTAAGGATAATTTAAGGGTCCTGTTGGTGCATCACTCGTGGTCATACTGGTCTCATATTTACTTTGTTTTATGGTGTTTGTTTATGTGCTGCTTTGTGTTGTGTTGTCCTGTTTTTTGATAAAACATGTTACCCCCTGTCCCAAGACAAATTTCTCCCATGGGAGACAATAAAGGATTATCTTATCTTATCTTATCTTACATTAGGGAACATTATTTGCCCAACTTTTTGAAATTTAAAAAAAAAAATCAGTCTGTACCTAGTATCTATTTTTTTTTATATTTGCCAAAGTAAAGTTCCATGAGATATTTCATAAAATTCTCTTGATGTTTACTGGGTCCTCCAAGCCTCTGAAGTTTAGTGCAGAAGTCTTAAATCTGAAAATCACTTTTTCTTTAATAACATCAAAAATAATTAATTTATCCCAATAGTATCAATGGAAGTTGAATATAAATATGAACATTGTGGATCATTTGGTGCCAGTTTTATGTCTCGATCATCATGAGTTTCTGAGATATGGCAAAAGTGTCATTTCTTTGGGACTTCAAGGACCATGAAATCTATATTTTTTAAGTTATTTGAGAAAAGCTCATTTTTCTGCCAGAGTTTTATGGACACTGTTAGGATTGAACTTAAGAGTCTTGGTGGAACCCAGTGGATTTTATTCAATTGCGCGAATATTCCACAGATTTTCTTTTAATTTGTATTGTCACATTTTAAAATTGGGCACAAGTTTTTGAGAATTTCTAACATTGGGCCAAACGATGCACCGTAATGTACATTTATAACCAATAAACTTCAGTACCGTCTTCATCACTATTATTAGTTGGTACGAACATAAACGAAAACAAAAACATTTTCATTCTCACTCTAACTTCAGTATTTTTACTTGGCCTGATGACGTCACCTTCTTAAATTTATTGCTCTGATGCAGAACATTTCAGGCAAAGCAATAACATCTCCTCGAAGACAAACAGGTGACGGGACCTCTACCAGAAAATGTACACAGTGCGGCTTTAATTTGAGCTACATCCCCATTGTATTTGAGCCTGTCTGTTCTGCTGATAGTGACGTGTCCTTTCTCCAGACAAATCATGTTCCGTGTCATATTTGTGTCTTCGTTTGTGCTGCGGAGAAGGTCACATGTCTTTAGAGCGTTCGGGCGGATGCGGTGGGGGGGTTTTGGAGGCGTCTGGACTCACGTAGGTGGTGGGCGCAGCGCAGGTGGAAGGTGTCGCAGCTGTGCACGTGGTGGTACAGCGTCTTCTCGATCAGGTCCTGAGGCTCGTAACCCGTCAGCTCGGCCACTCTGGAGAAAAAAACGAACAGAAGAAGGAGTAAAGCGTGAGGACGAGACGGACGATCGGATGATTTAGAGGCTCATTTTTGCCTAGAACGTCTCAAGTCAAACACAGGCAAGTCCAAGTTGAGTCTCGAGTCAGTATAAGTCCATAAGTCCAAGTCAAGTCCAAGTCGTCTGCTTTGAGCTTCAAGTCGTTTCAAGTCTTTAAACCAAAGTATAGCTTAGATTTTTGCAATTAATTTGACTTTTAAGATAAACTGTACTTAAAATTCAAATTTAAAAGTGCCTCTCAAGTCTGTTCAAGTCACAGGCCTCAAGTCCGAGTCAAGTCCCGAGTCGCTGACCTTCAAGTCCAAGTCGAGTCCCAAGTCTTAGTCCATTTTATCAAGTCGAGTCTCAAGAAAAGTTAAGAAGCATCTGAAGGATAAATACAGTTACAATGCACAATTGTAAACACTCTTGTAGGCAGAGGTGGGGACTTGCAGGTCGGGACTTGGACTCGAGTCAGACTTGAGTCACTATTTTTAGGACTTGAGACTTGATAAAATGGACTAAGACATGGGACTTGACTTGGACTTGATGCCTGTGAATTGAGAAGACTTGAAAAACACTTTTAAATCTGAATTCTTTCTATTCTGACTGTAACGATTCACTCTAAAATCTTGTCAAAACATTTAAAAAGAAAAAGTTTGCATTTCTACAACTCTTTTAAACTCTATAAATACTCGTAAATAAATAAACTATGATTTTTTAAAGTACAATTTATCTTAAAAGTCAAATAAATTGCAAAAATCTACTTGGTACTTTGGTTTAAAGACTTGAAAAGACTTAAAGCTCAAAGCACTCGGACTTGACTTGGACTTAAAAATCAGATTTATGGGCCTGTTTTTGTACTTGGGACTTGACTCGGACTTGAGCTCAAAGACTTGAGACTCGCAAAACGACGACTTTTCCCTCCTCTGCTTGTCGGGATGTAACAATAACCGAAATTTCGTAATATCGTATCGTCAAAAGTCTCACAATAACACACAGAATCACAAGTTTATTTGCAGCAATAGGTAGAAAAACAGAGGGAACTACATATCCCATGATCCTTTGCGCTGTTTCAGTCCAATCTACATGCTGAAATAACGGTTCTTAAGCAGTTTTAAATCTTAATTGTTTGGATTATGACGAGAGAAAAGCAGCATATTCACAGTTTTGTTAGTCTACGTAAAATATCACATTAAATATCGTTAAAATATCGTATCGAGAGGATTGGATATCGTTACGTCCCTAAACTGTTGTGTAAGAAGTTCACTGTGTTCTAAGGAAATAAGTAACATTTTCCGTCCTTACACACTGGTTAAACATCGTGTAAATCAATAATTATTTTTTAGACCAAAACAGTGACAATAACAAACACTAAAAAACACTGTCATTATTATTCAAATATAATTATTATTACAGTTGTGAATCCAGGTCACTTTACCCTGAAAACAGAGGAAGTCCTGGTTAATGTAGTAGTAGTAGTAGTAGTAGTAGTAGTAGTAGTAGTAGTAGTAGTAGTAGTAGTAGTAGTAGTAGTAGTAGTAGTAGTAGTAGTAGTAGTAGTAGTAGTAGTAGTAGTAGTAGTAGTAGTAGTAGTAGGGATAGTAGGAATAGTAGGAGTAGGAGTAGTCGTAGTAGTAGTACTAGTAGTTTAGTATTAGTATTAGTAGTTGCAGTAGTAGTAGTAGTAGTAGAAGTAGTAGCAGAAATAGTAGTGGTAGTAGTATTTTCAGTAGTAATAGCAATAGGCAAGTAGTAGTAGTAGTAGTAGTAGTAGTTGCAGTACTAATAGCAGCAGTAGTAGTAGTAGTAGTAGCAGTAGCAGTATTAGTAGTAGTAGTAGTAGTAGTAGTAGTAGTAGTAGTAGTAGTAGTATTTGCTAGTAGTAGTAGTATTTGCAGTAGTAGTAGTAGTAGTAGTAGTAGTATTTGCAGTAGTAGTAGTAGTAGTAGTAGTAGTAGTAGTAGTATTTGCAGTAGTAGTAGTAGTAGTAGTAGTAGTAGTAGTAGTAGTAGTAGTAGTAGTAGTAGTAGTAGTAGTAGTAGTAGTAGTATTTGCAGTAGTAGTAGTAGTAGTAGTAGTAGTAGTAGTAGTAGTAGTAGTATTTGCAGTAGTAGTAGTAGTAGTAGTAGTAGTAGTAGTATTTGCAGTAGTAGTAGTAGTAGTAGTAGTAGTAGTATTTGCAGTAGTAGTAGTAGTAGTAGTAGTAGTAGTAGTATTTGCGTAGTAGTAGTAGTAGTAGTAGTATTTGCAGTAGTAGTAGTAGTAGTAGTAGTAGTAGTAGTAGTAGTAGTAGTAGTAGTAGTAGTAGTAGTAGTAGTAGTAGTAGTAGTAGTAGTAGTAGTAGTAGTAGTAGTAGTGCAGTAGTAGTAGTAGTAGTAGTAGTAGCAGTAGTAGTAGTAGTAGTAGTAGTAGTAGTAGTAGTAGTATTTGCAGTAGTATTTGCAGTAGTAGTAGTAGTAGTAGTAGTAGTAGTAGTAGTAGTATTTGCAGTAGTAGTAGTAGTAGTAGTAGTAGTAGTAGTAGTAGTAGTAGTAGTAGTAGTATTTGCAGTAGTAGTAGTAGTAGTAGTAGTAGTAGTAGTAGTAGTAGTAGTAGTAGTAGTAGTAGTAGTAGTAGTAGTAGTAGTATTTGCAGTAGTAGTAGTAGTAGTAGTAGTAGCAGTAGTAGTAGTAGTAGTAGTAGTAGTAGTAGTAGTATTTGCAGTAGTAGTAGTAGTAGTAGTAGTAGTAGTAGTAGTAGTAGTAGTAGTAGTAGTAGTAGTAGTAGTAGTATTTGCAGTAGTAGTAGTATTTGCAGTAGTAGTAGTAGTAGTATTTGCAGTAGTAGTAGTAGTAGTAGTAGTAGTAGTAGTATTTGCTAGTAGTAGTAGTAGTAGTAGTAGTAGTAGTAGTAGTATTTGCGTAGTAGTAGTAGTAGTAGTAGTAGTAGTAGTAGTATTTGCAGTAGTAGTAGTAGTAGTAGTAGTATTTGCAGTAGTAGTAGTAGTAGTAGTAGTAGTAGTAGTAGTAGTAGTATTTGCAGTAGTAGTAGTAGTAGTAGTAGTATTTGCAGTAGTAGTAGTAGTAGTAGTAGTAGTATTTGCAGTAGTAGTAGTAGTAGTAGTAGTAGTAGTAGTAGTAGTAGTAGTAGTAGTAGTAGTATTTGCGTAGTAGTAGTAGTAGTAGTAGTAGTATTTGCAGTAGTAGTAGTAGTAGTATTTGCAGTAGTAGTAGTAGTAGTAGTAGTAGTAGTAGTATTTGTAGTAGTAGTAGTTGAGTTTTCTTGATGATTTTCAGCGTCTCCGTCTGTTTGGTTTAAATTCACTCAGCGAACAACAACAACAACAACAACAACAACAACAACAACAACAACAACAACAACAACAGCCTCAGAGGGACAAAACTCAAAGTCCAAACTGGAGTTTTTTAGACTCGTCCTGAGACTTTACTCCGTCCTGTTTAACTGTTTAACTCACTGCTCCTGCGTCTCGTCTAAAGTTACGCAGTGTCCCTTTAAAGAAACTCTGCTGTCTTCACTTTTTATTCTGCCTTCTGTGTTTTCGGGAGTAAATCTGCAGACGGAGACGCAGACGTGTGTGGAATTCGATGGGGTTTTGGGTAAACGTGTACGTGACCTGAGCCGATCTGACCAGAGTTTTGCGTCTTGGGCAGTGTAGACGGAAACGCGACGTGTGTCATTCGTTGATTTGTTTTTCAAAATAAAATCTAAAATAAGAAAATGAAAAAAACAACAATTTTCTTCATTATTTGTCTCCAAAACCAAAATGAAAAAAAACAGATAATGATTCGCTGCATGAGGACTTGAACCAGGACTAAAACAGGACTGAACCAGGACTGAATCAGGTCTAAACTGGTCTCAGTCCCGGTCTCAGTCCCTGTCTGGTCCTGGTCTGAGTCTCGGTCCCGGACTGAACCAGGACTAAACCAGGACTGAACCAGGACTGAAACAGGATTAAACCAGAATTGAACCAGGACTAAACCAGGTCTAAACCAGTCTCAGTCCTAGTCTCAGTCCCTGTCTGGTCCTGGTCTGAGTCCCGGTCCCGGACTGAACCAGGACTGAACCAGGACTAAATCAGGCCTAAAATAGGATTAAAATCAGGACGAAAACCAGGACTGAACCAAGACTGAACCTGGACTAAACCAGGACTGAACCAGGACTAAACTAGGACTGAACCAAGAATAAACCAGGACTGAACCAGGACTAAACCACGACTAAACCACGACTAAACCAGGACTGAACCAGGACTAAACCAGAACTGAACCAGGACTGAACCAGGACTAAAACAGGATTGAACCAAGACTGAACCAGGACTAAACCAGGTCTAAACTGGTCTTAATCCTGGTCTCGGTCCTGGTCTCTGTCCTGGTCTGATCCCAGTCTGAGTCCCAGTCCCGGACTGAACCAGGACTGAACCAGGAATAAAACAGGACTAAACCAGGACTGAATCACCAGGTCTAAACCAGATCTGAACCAATACTAAACTAGATCTCAGTCCCGGTCCCGTTCCCGATCTGGTCCCGGTCTAGTCCCGGTTTCCTGATCATCCAACAGTCTACGCTGGCACACTTCCGGGCCCATCCTGCCACTTTTGGTTCAGTTCTAGTTTAGGACTGAGACCGGAACCAGGACTGAGACTGAGACTGGTTTAGACCTGATTCAGACCTGTTCTAGTCCTGTTTTAGTCCTGTTTTAGTCCTGTTTTAGTCCTGTTTTAGTCTAGTCCTGTTTTAGTCCTGTTTTAGTCCTGTTTTAGTCCTGTTTTAGTCCTGTTTTAGTCCTGTTTTAGTCTGTTTTAGTCCTGTTTTAGTCCTGTTTTAGTCCTGTTTTAGTCCTGTTTTAGTCCTGTTTTAGTCTTGTTTTAGTCTGTTTTAGTCTTGTTTTAGTCCTGTTTTAGTCTGTTTTAGTCTTGTTTTAGTTTTTAGTCCTGTTTTAGTCCTGTTTTAGTCTTGTTTTAGTCCTGTTTTAGTCCTGTTTTAGTCCTTGTTTTAGTCCTTGTTTTAGTCCTGTTTTAGTCCTGTTTTAGTCTTGTTTTAGTCCTGTTTTAGTCCTGTTTTAGTCTGTTTTAGTCTTGTTTTAGTCTTGTTTTAGTCCTGTTTTAGTCCTGTTTTAGTCTTGTTTTAGTCCTTGTTTTAGTCCTGTTTTAGTGTTTTAGTTGTTTTAGTCTTGTTTTAGTCTGTTTTAGTCTTGTTTTAGTCCTTGTTTTAGTCCTGTTTTAGTCCTGTTTTAGTCTGTTTTAGTCCTGTTTTAGTCCTGTTTTAGTCCTGTTTTAGTCTTGTTTTAGTCCTGGTTCAGTCCGGCGTCGCTGTTAAAGTGCGATCAGCGAGAGACAGTTTAGTTTTAAACTCGATCTCGGTTCGTTTTGTTTTCGTTTAGAAATCATCCTGAAAACCAAAACACCACATTTTTAGAGAAAGAACTTGACCATCGAGTTTCTGTCATTAAAAATAAATCAGAATTTGAATTATTCTCAGTAAAAACTTTAGATGATTTGAATGTTTACGTCTCATCTCTGTCCCATTTCAAATACCAGAATAAAGCACATTACGGAACCTTTTTGGGGCTCCACTCTCTCACCTGGAGTCGAGGAAGATGAGCTTCATGTCCAGACTGGCTCTGAACATGAACATGTTGCTGTGCAGTTTGATCTCGGTGACGGCGGACGGGGGCAGCGAGTGGACCCACCGCCACCAGCCCCACGTTCTGGAAGCAGCCCTCGAACGGAGACATGTCCAGGCTGTACTGACGGATCTTCAGGTACCCGGAGCAGTGGATCACCTGCGCGCGGGAGAAAGAAAAAAAAAAAAAACACGCGAGAAAAACACGGTCACGCAGAGAAACGGAAAACATCAAGGTAAAACATTCAGCTGCAACCACAAATCTACAAATTCCACCTTGAAATTCTGACACGTTCCTCCATTTTAATCTATTCTATAATAATTATCGTAAATATCGTCACTTATATCGTCATTTATTGTCATATTCTTGGGATGTAACGATATCCGAATCTCTCGGTACGATATTATCACGATATGCTTCTCACGGTACGATATTTATTGCGATATCGTGGGAAGGCTCACGATTTCACGATACTACACGTAATAACAAGAGTGACTTTATAAAACTCAATTGGTACAACATTTATTGTCATATTTTTGGGATGTAACGATATCCGAATCTCTCGGTACGATATTATCACGATATGCTTCTCACGGTACGATATTTATTGCGATATTTTGGAGAGGCTGATATAATTGTAGATGGGACGCTTTTTTGCTTTTAAAATACCCTGATAAGATTTTGGTGTGAATTATTTCCGTCATAATCCCAAGAATTCAAGTAAAAACATAAAACTTCATGTTGTTTGCGCTGAAATGAATCATGGGAAATGTAGTTCCTGATGTTTAGAAGCTGTTGCTACTGTAAAATGATGCATTTAAGCAAAGGAACTTTTTAATTTCGATATATTGTGACAGCCCACGATATTATTGTGAGACTTTTGACGATACGATATCACGATATTTTCGGTTATTGTTACATCCCTAATAATAATGTTCACCCAATAGCTCAGTGTTTCTCAAACTGTGGTACTGGTCCGTCTTCTGGTGTTCAGTGGAGTCTCACGCAGCCCTCAAACTCTTGGCCAGTTTTAATCCGGTTTCACTGTGAGTTTTGGATAATTTAAAGGTTGTATGGAGGATTTTTTTTTTAGTTTCAAATTGTCAGTAAAAGTTTAAAATACCATTACAGAGACGCAGCAGCCTTGGAATTATGACCAAAAAAAAAAAAAAGAATGAAAATCTATCAACTGTGGACGTAGTGAGGCCAGATAAACATCAGCCAATAGAAAAAGAGGCTCCCTCTTTATCTATTGGCTGTTAGGTTGTCAATCAAACTCCCTACGTTTCTAGTATAACTGAATTGCCGGCGTGCGGGGATTACGTGGTTTATGCAGCGGTTCTTAGAGGCTTTTTCAAACTGTCGCTTCGTCGCAATTCGCCCAAAGTTTGTTGCGATGGCGGACGAGAATCCACGACCGGTTCGCCGCCAAAGAAAGTCCGTTTTTGAGGTCGCTGAAAGAAGAAGAGAAGGCGAAAAGGAGCGAAGACAAACTGAGGTGATTCTTGGAGATTCCTTCCAGCGACGGCGAAACTGAAGTTGACAAAGGGTCTAAAAACTGACGCGTCGGTCGCTAAATTACTTCTAGACAAGTCACTTCAACAGAAATTCATGCACTGGATGTAAACAAGCGTGATTTGTAGAGTAAAGAGGCGGGAGGAGGAAGATCGTGTCACGCATGCGCAACATTTGAAAAAAGACTCTTGCTGTATTGCTCTTCCCTTAAAAAATCCTCTATACAACCTTTAATAAATATATTATAATAGTTTACATCAGACATGCCAAACTCAGGCCCAGGGGCCAAATTTGGACCCCAATATAATTATATTTGGCCCGCGCGATCCTATCAAATCTGTATTAGTGCTGCCCATTGACTACAGATCGACTACAGAGACATTATTTATTTAAAATGTTGTTATCATTTTATATTCTGCTTGTTCTGGATTCAGGGTTTAAGCAAAACTTTTATTAAACATTTATTTTAATGTTTAATGTTCAATAAAATAATAACAAAAGATTAGAAATGATACAAAACATGTCTTAACATTTGAACATTTCTAGTGAGATATTTGGGCCTGTTTGTGTTTTTGCAGTGTGTTCAGTCCATGTGCAGGAGGAGACGCAGCAGCAGATCAGGAGCAACGTTCAGTCTGTTTTTGTGTTTTGTTTTCATTTTTGGGAACACAGAAAATCACAATTCACACATAAATGTAGAAGTGAAAGGAATAAACAGATAAACACTGGCCCGACTGAGGACAGGAGATTCTGACCAGACGCTGATCCAGAAAGACGATAATGTCACAGACCGGAGCTGTGTTTCTCAGATCGACATGAGGATCGTCACCCAAAAAAAATCCCTTGTGACCCACCTGAGGGTCCAGAACCAGTCTTTGGGAAACACTGGTGTAGAGGATTTGTGAATTTCCAATTTTACAACAGAACCGTGACCAATTTTTTGTCCATGTACTGTCCATACCAAATCTTTTTCAACTCTTACTTAATTAAAGGTGTAATTTTTCAAGTGGCCATGAAGATTAGGGAGAATCATTTGCCCAATTTTTTGAAAAATTTTTGAAAATCAATTTGTGCCTAGTATAATTTTTTTACACTTTCCAAAGTAAAGTTAAATGAGAAATGTCATAAAATAATATTGATGTTTACTGGGTCCACCAAACCTCTGACGTTTAGTGCAGAAACCTTCAATCTGAGCTGAAAAATCTGTTTTTCTTTAATAACATCAAAAATAATTAATTTATCCCAATAGTAACAATGGAAGTTAAATATAAATATGGACATTGTGGATCATTTGGTGCCAATTTTATGTCTCGATCATCATTAGTTTCTGAGATATGGCAAAAGTGTCATTTCTTTAGGACCATGAATAAGCAATATTATAAAAAATAATAATTATAATATTTTAAAAATCATTATTTTTATAAAGTTATTTGAGAAAAACAGATTTTTCTGCCAGAGCTTTATGAACACTGTTTGGATGAAACTGAAGAGTCTTGGTGAACCCAGTAGATTTTATTCAATTGATCAAATATTCCACAGATTTTGTTTTAATTGGTTTTGTCACATTTTAAAATTGGGTTTCTGAAGTTAAATTTCTAACATCTTGTCAAATGATGCAGCTTAATGTAGATGTTATTGTTTTGACTAGAACGTTCCACAATATGACATCACAAATCTGCAAAAACTAAAATCTATCCAAGTTCAGATGACTTGAATTAAGAAATCATCATTATTTATCATGATTTGAGTAAATTCACTTGACAAATAAAATGATCTACCAATGGAATATGACTTTCTGTACTTAAAATATGAAAATACATCTTGCTACACTTAAAATAATTAAAACAACAACTCTTTGCACTTAAAATAAGAAAGAAAATCAAATGTTGCTTGAATTAACATAAACACACTTATTCCATTGGCAGATCATTTGACTTGTCAAGCTGAATCGACGCAAATAAAATCAAATGTTTTTTTAATTTAAGTCATTTTAACTCACCTAGATATGACTTTTTGTAGTGAATATATCGGTGAAGACGAGCAGGTGGATAATTATGCAACACAATGTCTCTCACCGTGCGAAGCGGTGTGAAAAAAACCCCAACGTGAAACAGAGACAGAGCTCCTTTTGTCCACTCAGATTTTGCCGTCGTTTGTAGTTGATTGTGCAGATATCCACAGGAGGCGCCAACGACCTGCGGCGCTTTGTTGTCACGACGTTTAGGGCGACGTCAGCTCCTATTGGCCACCACGTTTTTTTGTTGTTGTTTTTTTTTTTTTTACAGAAGTCAGTGCGCTTTTTTCTTTTAATACACCGTTTTAGATGAAAATTGTGATTTAAAATGTCCAAATTCTAACGTAATAATCCACTCGAGTCAGAGATTAAAACGAAATCGCAAACTCAAGTACGACACGTCTTCTTTAAGGTATTTTCGAGCAAGAAAAACGTTGTAAATCCTCTTTATGCTTGTACTCTCCCGCAGAAAAGCTACGCAGTGCAGCTTTAAAATGAAAACCAAACATGAGATTCATCATTTAGGACTCAGATACAATTTTAAATCGATAGAAAATAAATAAATACAAAAATAAATAATGGAGGATTTGTCTATTAATGAAATCGAAATCTACAGGAAATATGGACTTTAAAAAATTCTTTAAAATAATGAATAAATAAATAAATAATAAATAGTGGAGAATTTGTCTATAAATGAAAACATCTAAATCCGCATTAAATATGGACTAAAAAAATTCTCAAAAATAAATAGATAAATATGCCAATGAATAAAATAGCACTGGTTAGACTGAAAAAAAATGAAATGAAAAATGAAATGAAAAAATAAATAAATAAAAAAATATAAAAAATATATGTTATAATTTAATATATGCTATTATGTATATAAATTTACAGGGATCGCTAAAATAAACATTCCACTTAAATATTTTCTTCACACTCGTCGTCTTCGCAAACCTCACTCCCATCTTGTTTAGCTTGTCTTTCTTTAGGCTTAACGCTAATCCCACTTTAACAAATCGGCAAATAACGAAAATAGAAGAGCTAAACCCTTCCACAATCGTCGCTGCTCTTTCTCCTTTCCCCCCTTTGTCATCCGTTTGCGCGTAAATCCAAAGACGACGCCGTGTTTGGTTTTACGCACTGTGTTTTTTGTTTTTTTTTACGCACCTTGTATCCCCCGCTGGTCAGGCCCGCGTTCCTTTTGGCCAGGACGCACTTCATCCTCAGAAAGAAGGATCGCTCCACTTCGTATTCTGCAACAAGGACAAGAGTTTTAGGCTAATGAGGTCATGACGCGCGGAAATATTGCGTTTAAAAAAAAAAAAAAAAAAATCACAAACGATGCGTATTTTTGCCCGTGTGCTTGGATTTACTGCGATGAAACGAAGCTCTCTCTCTCTCTTTCTCTCCCTCTCGTTGTGAAATCCGAGAAGGAAATAAAAAAAAATATCCGGGCATGAACTGGAGAGCACTTGTATCGGAACACGTTATGCGTAAAGGCGCACAGCTGCTGGCATTAGCGCTGCGATTTGATATACACTGCAAAAAAACATGCCTAAAAACGACGAATACTACATAAAACACTCCGATTTTTAATTTTATTTCCACTTTTATAAATATTTTTTACTCATTTTATCTTTTTATGGAAGCGAGTTTTAATAAATTCCAAAACGGTAAAGGCTTTTCCGCGTAAAACATCGCAGCACAATGTAACTTTTCCTTCATTTCCCAGCAGATACCTGGTTCTTTAATCGATCTATCTCGATTAGTCGGCACAGGTGGCTTAGTTACAGGTTAGCTCAGTGAAAAGGCGAGCCACACACAGTGAAATTTACGTTTTTCGAGGTATTTTTGGCAAGTAAAAAAACTGAAATAATAATAAAACACTTTAAAAAACGCACTGCTGAACAATGTTTTTATGGATATGAGCAGGTTAATGTTAAATACTTTGAAAGTTAAGCTCTCCAGGCTTATATTTAATTATTAGTTTTGATAATATTGCAATTTTTGATACATTACAATAGCTATATTTCATAACCTTTTAAGATTTTTTAATTTTGCAGTGCAGTGTTTTTATTTTTACGCGTACGTGACTTACCCTGGAGGAAGTGCGTGTGGTAGGGCTGGTGCGGCGTGAGCACAGCGGTCATCTCGTCGTGGTCAGCGGGGTGCACGTACTCGTAAATGCTGTTCCCGGTCAGCTCTACCTGCAGACGAGAGCTCGGGTCAGAACGCGAAAGCACAACGCGTGCGTAACAGCGCGTAAAAACGAAGCAAAAAATGACATGCGAACCTGAGACAAGCCCAAATGCACCGACGCCGTTTCAGAGATGTACATGATTTTGCCATCGGGAGCCACGACAAAAATGAAACCGTCCAATGTCTGAAAGAAAAAAAAGAGTTATAAATAAAAAATATATCAAGCATTTCTTTTATCACAGGATTTCACCGTGCCAAATACGCGTAAGAAAAACTGTACAACTGTATCCAGAATTCTGCATTCACTGCCCAGAAATTTGGACCTTGAACTGTGACTAAACCGGGCCTAGACCAGGACTAGAACAAGATCCAAAGCAGGACCAAACGAGGATAAATGTGGACGCACCTCACCGACTATACATCACAATTATCACATCAAAATTGCGTCTAAACTGGAACTAAATCCGGATTAGACCAGGACTAAACCAGGACCAAACCAAGTCTACATTAGATGACTCAAATAGGTTCAAAATGAGGACTAAACCAGGACTGAACCAAGTGAAAAGACACAGAACACTATTAGTAAATGTTTTGAAAGCAAAAACTTATATTTCAGTGTTTTACCGGTGAAAATTGAGCATCAAACTAATTAAAAAAACATCTACTCTTGCCATTTTGACGCGTAATTGCGCATACGTACCTGCAGCAAATGCGACCCCAGCTCTCGCCCGATGTTATCCAAAGACCGGGACCGACTCGTGTGACCCCAGGCCTCGCCCAAACCTTCACAAGACACGACCATCAAAACATGGCGTCATAAAGACAATAGCGTAATGTGACCTAATCTCCTATTTCCGTAATCTGGTTTTACGCACGACACAGACATGGCTGGAATGTGCCAAAATGATTATATTTTTAAATGCAGGGCTAGATATATTAATCGATGTGGTTTTAAAATTTTGTTTTTTGGTTTTTGTAGCCTATTTCAATCGATCTAACATTGTATTATTATTGACTATTCGTGGGTTTCATCTTTCTGATATATGGTGCCATTTTGAGGAGTGACCGTTCCAAACATACAGTCTAGCCTAATATTTATACACATCTTACGTTTTAACTGCACGTTTTTTATTGTTGTTTATTATCTATTTAGTTTATTATTATTATTTGCTCGTTGTGAGATAATTTATGCGCGTAAGAAAACGCCAAGACGCACAGGCAAACCAGTTTTCCCGTGTGCGCTAAGGACCAAACCCGTGCGTAAAGTTCGCCCCTTGTTCTCTGTAATTCCTGCGTGGCGCGCGCCGGAGGAAAACCCTTGAACTGGACGTGTCTACGAGGTGCGAGGACCTGTCCGAGCGCATCCGAACAGCTGCGCTTTGGACACGGCTCCGTGGCACCGCGCTCAACACCTTTTGGAAGCAATTACGCACGAACGGCAATTACGCACAGACATACAGATTGGTTTAGGCAATTTAAAAGCAGTCTCTCAAGATAACATACTTTACATTTCAAGTATTATTATGAAGATGATGATGATGATGATGAGTTTTAGTAGTCGTAGTAGTAGCAGTAGTTGTAGAATTGTAATTTAGTCCGTGAGTTTGTCAAAAATTACGCGCGATACAATCATTTAAATGCCAATTTTACGAGTATATTTTTGCTTTTGTTATTCTGTAGTTAAAAATATAAACTTCAAACACACACGCATTTATATAACTAAATTCTCAAAACATAACCTATTTTTTCGTTCAATTTTCGCCAGACATGAATTTTATCAAAGAGGAATAATATAAAAATACATTTGGCTTGAGAAATACTTCTATATAAAAACGCCCGATGAATTCTTCAAATGGCACTTATCTGTTTTGCAAGTGAACTCTTTGTACTACCCCCCGCGCGTATCATAGCAACATATTTAGTTTTTAATACCCTCATAAAACACGATACGCCGCTTGTGTTTTTTACGAAATGCGATGTTCAGCTTTCACGTTATATCCCCCCCGTTCCAAATATATTCGGCTCTGGTTACGCGGCACATCTTTTATAGCAGCTCGGCTCGCACTGGGGCCTGTGTCCCCGATACTAGAGCCCTGCCTGCGTGTGCGTGTGCGTGTACGTGTACGTGTGAGTGTGAGTGTGCGTGCGCGCGGCAGCTTTAGGTGATTAGGAGCCACGCGGGGCCCTGCTTTCTAATTGCCGCGCGCGCTTCCCAGTCACGCGCCGCGCCAGGGAGCCGGTTGGATCAGAAAATGGAGGCGAGAACACGGCTCTTATTGTAAATGAATAATGCATATGATATTACGAGTGCGCGATCGGCGTGTATTGTGGTTTTAAATGGGTTCGCGGCGCGTAAAAAGGGTTCGCCGTGTTTAAGTTGAAATGTCGTTGGTTAGTGGATACATGACAAAAGCCGTTATAAAAACCATGTATAAGAGAAATTGCACGACTAAAATTACGCATAATATTATAAGACGTAACGTAAAGTGATATGCATTCAATTAGTGTATAGGCCTGTTTAATTATCTCAATTATTATATGTGACTATACATGTTTTTTAATTTTGGATTTTGTTTCGTGTGGTTAAAATAAATATTCAAAATTATTGTTTGAATTTACCCTATTTTTATTATTTTATTCATTTATTTATTTATTTTTTGGTTGAATTTATTGCAAACCAATTTTTCATTTACATTTTTTTTTTCGTTCAAATTTGAATTTACAGAAAACTCATTTTGTATTTTTTTTTATGTTCTTGTAGATTTTTTTGTTTTGCTGATTTACAGATTTGGATAAACACAACAGATGCTTCTCTAATCCTAAACTCAATAATCAATAGGAAACAAAAACAAAAACAGTGATGACACACACACACACACAAAAAGAAAAATCCATCGGAAAAACTCCTTCGCGTCGTGCGTAAAACCCGTGCGTAAAACCAAACCCGCGCGTCTTTGGCTCACCCTGGGGGAACACGATGCGCATCTTCAGGTAGCTGGTGGTCAGCCGGATGATGGAGGCCTTGTCCAGCTGCGACGTGATGGCGGAGGGCAGCGGCAGCATTTTGGCCAGCTCGTAAAACTCGCTGTTCTCCTTCTCGCGTCTAGTCCTCGCGGCCGTTTTCGACTTCTCCTTCATGGTAGCGAATTATTTATTAAACTTTCAATTCAATTCCGAGTAACGATCCCGTGGTTATTCCCGTTCGGTTTAAAGGGGCCGTTGTGGTGGTGCCTCCGGTGCGCTCTGGCTCCGCGTCATAATCGTGGGTCCTCTCCAAATCAACCCCCAAAAAACAATGCGCGCGGCGTTATTCCTGCAGCGGTCAGTGACAGGTCAGCTCGGTGTTTGGAGACGTCCGCAGAGTAAAGAGGAACGATCCATGACCCTGGCAAAGAAAGCAAATGTGATTACATAAATACATACATTTCATTCAGAGGTGTAGGCCACGTGCGTTTTCCCCCAAGCGCGTATGAATTATGAATTATTTACGTGACAAAATGATTTTAAAAGGAAGCAAAACTGTAATTCTTGGAGTAAAATGCAATGTTATTTTTAATTTATGTCACAGCTGACTTTGTTAATGACTGACAAATTGACAAATGATTGAAGCATGCGTCGGACTCGTGAAGTACAGTTGTTATTTAGGCTCCATGCGACTCAATTATGCTTCATTTATGACATAATAATTGAGCAGAATTGCTATTTTAATTCAGAAAAACAAAACAGACGTGCGTGCCGTGACATATTGGCGGTCAGTGCGTAAGGGCAGTGCAACAAGTCACAGTGCGGACGCGTTTGGCACACGTTCCAGTAAATTAATCCACCTTTTTTCACTAAGCAAAGCGCACAAAACCCAGAAGTACCATGAGTCAGTCACACAGCGGGCGCATTACGGCTCGTTCCCGACGCTCTCAGCCCCGTTTCCTCGGCCCGTATCGACGTGGCCTCGGAGGCAGCCTGCTGGGACTGTCACCTGTCCTGATCCGGGGTTGAGCAGTCGTCCCGGGGCGAACAAACTTCCACCTGGAAAACGCGTGCGTAAAAGGAACCCACCGTGCGCTGCATACACCTCTCCAAATTAGACCCGAGCGCGCAACGAGTGGCATCCGTGCCCAACAAGCCTCCTTTCTCCTCCACTAGCTCAATGTCCCCTCTCTGGAGCCGCGCAGGACCCGCCCCCGAGCCTTCACCTGATTGGGTAAAGTCCGGAGAACACGCGACGCGATTGGAGGAGCGCGGTGGGCGTCAGTTTGGAGGCTGCGGTACGAGCGAAATGACGAGAGGCGCTCAGAGTTGCCAAGTCTGCTGCTTTATAGCGACTTCGAGATTTTTTTTTTTTCTTTCTTGTAAATTTTAAGAGTTGAGGGTCGCGTTTTTGTTGAGTGACACTTTTCCACGTCATAAAAAAGGGTCAGTTTCACGATAAAAGATCATGAACATTTAAAGGGCCCATATTACGACAGTTATAGATTTATGTTCTAATGTTTCCTCACCACAGACAGACCTGGACTTGTGTTTTGGTTCATTCACACACGTTTACAGTGTCGGGAAGGTGACTTTTAAAATGTAATCCCCTACAGATTACAGATTACATACCCCCAAATGTAGTTTGTAACAGAATCCATTAAATTACTTAAAGTGAGTAATGTAATCTGAATACTTTGGATTACGTGATTTGCTGTAGAGAAACAAAGACAAGGAAATGTTAAAATAAGATGTTTTGTCTGATAAAAGAAAATAAAAAGTCCAGACTTTACTGAACCAAATTAAAAATATTATTGATAGAAGAAGAGGAGACACGTCCAGGCAGCATGATTTAGTCCTATTAAATCCTGTTTTAGTCCTTGTTTTAGTCCTGGTTTAGTCCTGGTTTAGTCCTGGTTTAGTCCTGGTTTAGTCCTGGTTTAGACCTGGTTTAGTCCTGGTTTAGACCTGGTTTAGTTCTGGTTTAGACCTGGTTTTAGTCCTGGTTTAGTCCTGGTTTAGTTCTGGTTTAGACCTGGTTTAGAGCTGGTTTAGACCTGGTTTAGTTCTGGTTTAGACCTGGTTTAGTCCTGGTTTAGTCCTGGTTTAGTTCTGGTTTAGACCTGGTTTAGAGCTGGTTTAGACCTGGTTTAGTTCTGGTTTAGACCTGGTTTAGTCCTGGTTTATTGTCCGGCAATGAGTGGAATTACTAAAAAAAAAAAAAAAAAAAAAAAAAAAGGGATTTAGCCCAAAATGTGAAAACAGGAAAATCCCGCCGTGTAATCCATTTATTTAAACAAAGTAACTGTAATCCAATTACCACTCACTGATCCAGTAACTGTAACTGAATACAGTTACTCATAATTTGTACTCTGATTACATAACTCCAGTACATGTAATCTGTTACTCCCCAAAACATGTTACATTAGGTCTCCAGGAAGAAGAGCTGATCGCAAAGGTCAATAAAAACAGTCAATCAATGAACCTGCCCAGGGACGACAGGTTGAAATTAGAACTGGTGCTACAACCTGGAACAAATATCTCTTTTTAAAATCTTTTTAGTTTCAAATTGTCATTGAAAGTTTAAAATACCATTACAGAGACGCAGCAGCTTTGTAATTATGATGATCAAAAAAAAAAAAAAAAAGAATGAAAATCTATCAACTGTGGACGTGTTGAGGCCAGATAAACATCAGCCAATAGAAAACGAGGCTCCCTCTTTTTCTATTGGCTGTTAGGTTGTCAATCAAACTCCCTACATTTCTAGTGTAACTGACTCGTCGGCGCGCTGGGATTACGTGGTTTATGCAGCGGTTCTTAGAGGCTTTTTCAGATTGTGGCTTCCTCGCAGTTCGCACTAAGTTTGTTGCGACGGCGGACGAGAATCCACGACCAGATCGCCGTTTCTGAGGTCGCTGAAAGAAGAAGAGAAGGGGAAAAGGAGCGACTGAAGCAGACAAAGGGTCTAAAAACTGATGGACGGTCGCTAAATTGTGATTTAAAGCGTGATTTCTAGAGTAAAGAGGCGGGAAGAGGTGTTTCTAAAGGTGGTGTCACGCATGAACAACGTCTGAAAAAGGACGGTGGCTGTATTTCTCTTCCCTTAAAAAAAATCCTCTATACAACCTTTAAATAAATAAATACTAACAAACTCACACAAACCCTGCAAATTTTTATTTACGTTATTTTCTCAAAACTAAAAATACTTCATTCCTCCTTGCGATGTCACTGAGCGGCAGTACAGGAAGTGCTCCACCGTGTTTTTAAACGCCGTTCACCTTCACTACAATAATTTCTGTCCTGCGATTGGACAGATTTAAAGTGACAGCTATTGTTTTTAGCCTCATTGAAGCTGCTCCAGTCCCATATTAGACCCTTCTTATTGACAATCTGAACAAAAAGATCAAAAAGAAAAACAAAAAAATTATTCAAGACTAAAAGGTTATTTTAGAGCAGACATGTCAAACTCAGGCCCGGGGGCTAAATTTGGGCCGCGATATAATTATATTTGGGCCGCGAGATCATATGAAATCTGTTTTAGAACTGCTCACCGACTACAGATCGACTATAGAGACATTATTTATTTAAAATGTTGTTATTATTTTATATTTTGCTTGTTCTTGATTCAGTCAAATCAAATCAAATTTATTTGTATAGCACATTTAAAACAGCCAGAGCTTACCAAAGTGTTGAACAATGAAATAAAACACACAACTGACAAATATATATATATATGATCTCGCGGCCCAATATATATATATATATATATATATATATATATATATATATATATATATATATATATATATATATATACTATTGTCGTTGCTTTGTCAATCGTGTGTCTCTTCCTAACTCTAGGGAAATGCCAGGGAGAAAAGGTGCGTTTTGAGTGAGGATTTACCCCCTCTCCAGGCAGGTGTTGCAGATTTGCAACAGCTAAATGCCAATACCTACTTACTCCACATCCATATTTTATGAGCTTTTTTTACTCAGGAGCCTTTTTTCCATCCATGCTGATAAACGTGGACGATGCAGACTGTGCAAGAACCACTACACACAAACAGCCTGCCAGAAGTGCAAAGGTCAGGATTGTATATTACTTCCCCATATGACAATTTACCCCAAATATCAGATTTTTCCTGATACTAAAAATTAATTTGAGCCTGAAAGAGAGTGCTCCAGAGTTTGTGCAGTTCTAATGTGCAATGGCAAAGTGTTCCACAGTCGTGGATCGACCACAGAGAAGGTCCAGTCTCCTCTGGTCCTCAGCCTGGTCCTGGGGACAGTAGGAGGTGCAGACGTCTGGATGGGACATGAGACTGAAGGAGTTCAGATAAACAGGAAGGTGCCATTCCATTAAGACTCTTAAAAACATAAATCATTAAAATTTTAAAATAGATTCTAAAATGTACGAGGAGCCGATGCAAAGATTGTGTTTAAGCAAAACTATTATTAAACATTTATTTTAATAAGAAAAGGTTGAAGACGACACAAATACAAAGAGAAAACAAACAGATGTTGTTGACATTTTTCAATAAATATTTAGTTTGGCCCTGGACTTAGTCCCAGTTTTTAATTTTGACCCTGTGTGAATTTGAGTTTGATTCCTCTGTTTTAGAGCATTAACCTTAAAACTACCACTAAATGACGTCACAAGGTGGAACAGAGCGTTTTGATGTAGACAATCTAATAATAAAGAGACACTCAAACATGTGAATGAAAAAAAACACAAGTCCAGGTCTGTTTTTGAGGAGGTAACAACATTATAACGCTCATGTTTGTGTAAAATCGGATCTTTAATATTTGATTTATCGTTTTTCGTTTGGGGCTGGACTCGTGTAATTGTTTTCTTTTCTTTTTTTTTTTTTTTTTTTTTTCAAAGTCTTCATCGTTTATCGCTGCTCTCTGAGAATCTGGCAACCCCCGAGGCGCTCTCCTTGTTGTGTTTCTGTCATTAGCGTGGAAATCCTGGCTCAGGTGGCATTAAACGCACCAATGTGATGATGAGGAGGAGGAGGAGGCAGAAGGCGCGCGCGCGGACGGAGGCGACGCGTTCCACGGGCGATTACGACGCGAACCGAACGCGACGCGCAGCAGAAGCGGCAGCGGAAGCGGCCCTCCGAGACAGAAAGAGCAACCATTTTAACAACTGCATCGTGATTTTCACACGC